ATATAGCCCAAACTGGCCTCTCGAACTTGGGATCATCCTGTCTCTGCCTTCCTGGTGCTGGGATTCCAAGCCTGAGTCACCATGCCCTGTTTTGGAGCGGGGTTCCGGAGCAGTGTGAACTGAGCTGTGTTCTCTCCCTGCCCTCTCTCAGTGCCTGTTAGCGTTGAAGCTTCCACTTTCCTCTCCTTCCCTCAGCCCTGGGACTGCCATCTCCTGCACTACACACACACACACACACACACATCCGCTCCCATCTCCTGTCCCCTCCTCCCCTCACTCTCTGCCTCCTTCCCTGTCCTGCCATGCAGAGCAGAGCGGCAGCCGAGGCCAATTGATTATCTGAAGAAATTCGGAGTTAGCAGCACAACAGCTGCAGCCGCCCTCTCTCTCCACCCTCAGGCCCTGAGGGACCTGCGAGGGGAGGGGCCCCTAACCCTTCTGCTCTCCAGCCTGGGAGGGAGGGAGGGAGATGGTCCCTGAGCGCAGAGGCGCAGTGGCGTAGTGCTAAGGCTTGGGCTCACACCCAGGATCCTAGGAGTCACCGTGAGTCACTTTTCTGGATAGGCAGCTGTCCTTGAAACAAAGGTGTTACCAGGCACCCAGGCGCGGTGGAGTCTGTCTTCCACGCTTTCCAGAGGAAAAAGCAGGTGCTTGCTAAGTTAAAGGCCAGTCTGAGCTATTTAATGTGACTTTGTATCAAAATAAGTAGATAAATAAATAACCAAAGGTGTTGGTCATGTACAGTGGTGCACCTTTGTAATTCTAGCCCTGGGGAGACTGAGGTAGGAGGATGGCAAGTCGGAGGCCAGGTTGAGTTATATAGTGACACCTGGTATCAAGTTTAAAAAAAAAAATAAAAATAAATATTAGGGCCGAGGTCTGGGGAGATGGCTCAGGTGTTAAGAGCACTGGCTGCCCTTCCAGAGGTCCTGAGTTCAAGTCCCAGCAACCACATGGTGGCTCACAACCATCTGTAATGAGATCTGGTGCCCTCTTCTGGTATGTGTATACTAAATAAATAAATAAATAAATAAATAAATAAATAAAATTAGGGCCAAGCAGTGGTGGTGCCCTTAATCCCAGTACTCAGGAATCAGAGGCAGGCAGATCTCTGTGAGTTCAAGGCCAACCTGGTCTACAGAGCGAGCAACTTTCAGGACAGCCAGGGCTACACAGAAAAACCCTGTCTTGAAAGCAAACAAACAAAAAATTTAAAAGGAAGAGAGGTAAGAATGGGGGGAGCTGGACACTGGGATCTTCCAAGGTCCTTCCAACACAGCGCTCGGATTTCGCTGGCCTCAGTTCAGCCCACCCTCCTGCCAGGCTCTGGGCACAGGATATTTCACTTAAATCACCCGCAAGAGAGAAGACATCACATCTTAGGAGTTCCTTTCCAACTGTCATCCAAAGCCCTCTTGCTAATGGCGTTCTGCAGTCACCCTGGGATGTATGTAGTACATACTGCGTTCTGTTGGACCAGAGGATGGATGTCTCAGTAGACCCTTCCCATTGATTGAAGTTCAGCTATCTCGCAAGGCCCTAAGTTAGGAAAGGCTCTTCCAGAGATCCATCTGGAATGGGAATGTGCTCTAGGTGTCTCTTTACAGACTAGATACTTCAGCCCCTCTACCTGGGTTCCTCTTTATGGGGCAAATGGACAGCTCCAGACTCTACAAAACTGCCAAGTTTTTCTTGGAAATAAAATCTATTATGCTATAGCCTCTACTCAGTGATTATGATTCTAGCTTCTGAAGACACAGAAAGTCCATTTTTCTTCCTTCATTTAGTATTTGAAGAAAAGGATGGTTTTACCTTTAAATCTACTCTTTGCGTGCTTTGTTTTTTGAGGTAGGCTCTCACACATATTCCAGGGTGACCTCAACTGTAGCTGAGAATAACTTTGATCCAACTGCTGCCGCCTTGGGGTGCCAGGGTCAGGGGGTGCAACCAACCCCTTTTATGCAATGCCAGGGATCAAGCCCAGGTTTCTATGCTTACTGGGCATGCACTTTACCAACTGAACTGCTCCTAACTATACTATAAATATTATATATATACATGTATATATATATATAGAATATATATATATATTCTAGCCCCTAAATATACTCTTATCAAGACAGACATCATTCCTGTCCCCTCTCCAGCACTACTCCACCCCAATGGTATAGCACTGGTCTACAATGTGTGAGGCCTCTGGTCCCATCCCCAGCATCAACCCAAAAGCAAAACAAAAACCCCAAATGTATCTTCTGTTTTCCTTGTAGCGTGGTCTCCAGACCTTTCACTTTCTTAACCATGTAATGGGCCTCTCTGTTCTATCAGTGTTCCTCTTAAAAACAGGGGGTCCAAAAGAGCACTGTCTGTCAGGTTGGCTTCTTTTAGGGAGGCCAGATAGAGCGGGGAAAACCTGTAATTCCAGCACTTGGGAGGTTAGCAGGTGGAGAAAATCTCAAATTTAAGACTGCCTTAGACTGTGTGCCAGTCAAGGTTAAAGCCAGCCTGGGCTGCATGAGACCCTGTCTTCAACTGACCCACTTGCCCCCCAAAAAGAAGCTGATTCTGAGTCTTAACTGTGTCCTTAATAACTTTGTGACCTTGGGAAAGGTGCTCTCTGACTCTGGGTTTAAATGTCTTTATAAGTTGATTTTAGAGTTTTTTCAAGAATCCTTCTGATGCCGGTTCAGCAGCTCCCCCGCCTCTGGTGTTTGGGGCAGGTTCTAGGCTGGACTTGAATCCATGACTGCCTGCTTCAGTCTCACAGACTCAGCCACTCAGCACTCTATTTTTTTTAATTCCTTTCATTCTCTTACTATCACGCTCCATCCTGTATCTGATGATGTGGCGCACAGAACAGACCATGAGCTGTTTCAAATAATTTTGACCCAGCCTGGAGATGATCAGAGAAAAGGCAATGCCTTCATGTTATTCCATGGCTTTCTCTAGCAGCATGGACCTACAGACACAGGTAGAGACACCCAGCTGCCTTTTCTCAAGGCCATAGTGAGAAAGATCTGAAAAACAGAAAGCATCACTCAATGACTGCTAAAATGGAATGTATGAGATTTCTGGTAGGAGACCTGGGGCGTAGGCTCAACCTCTTTCTCCTGTAGCCCCCCTTCTCTGTCTCCATTTATTTACCACACGCAGCTCTCATCATGATACAGACACTGATGAGGCTTCAGTGCCTAGGACCCTCGATACCCTCTTTACATAATCCTTTTTCTTTCTATCTTTCTTTTTGTTTTTTTTTTGTTTTTCGAGACAGGATTTCTCTGTAGCTTTGGGAACTTGTCCTGGATCTAGCTCTTGTAGACCAAGCTGGACTCAAACTCACAGAGATCCTCCTGCCTCTGCCTCCTTAGTGCTGGGATTAAAGGCGTGCGCCACCACCGCCAGGCTATATTCTTCAGGCCAGCTTCCCAACACAAAGCAGCCACAACCATGTCTGGTACTAGATCGAGGTCACTTTAATTTTTCTTTTTGTAAGAAATTAGCAGTGTAACCAGCGAGAGACTTACACACAGGACACAAGACCTGGACTCTGGGGTCTGCTCTTGGTGGTATTGGGAAAAGCAGAGTCAATAAGAGGACTGGAGCAGGACTGCCAGGGGTGGAGGGGTTGAGAGAGGGCACCAGAAGGTGGGAGGCTGGGGGAGGGGCACTACTCCAGAGGAAGGGGGGTGGGGATAGACGGAGCTGAGGAAGGGGTGCTGGTATGCTGGGTGAAGGGATCCCCATGCACACCTGCACTGGGGAAGGAGCAAGAAAAGGAAAGAAGGTACCAGGGAGAAAGGAGGGTCCCAGCTAGAGTTAGCTGCAGGGAGCCCCCCTCACCATACCCCAAAGTGCATAACTCAGTAATAAATAGTAATATTTATAAATAAATAAATGCATAAATAAATAAATACATAAATATAAATAAATATCCTTGTACAGCTAGGAGTTTGCTGTGAGGGTGGGTGGAGCATGAAGAAGCAGTGAGTTCATCTCCTCTACAGGGAGTCTAAGACCCATGGACTCACGTTGCACAGACTACAAAGGGCAGACGGGGCTCAGCAGCATGGGCGGGGCACTTTCCTTTCCGTGGCAGCTTCAGAAAGGAGGCGGGGGACATAATAAGAAGGCCCTAGAGCATGCACAGGAGGCAGTCGCAGGCATCCCCTTGCACCTGAGGGGGGAGCTGATAGGGTTTGCAGGTTTTCAAGGTCTGCTGGGACAGAAGTGGCTGCTGCTGAGCTGCCCCACCCAAGGCCTGGGCCTTCTGCAAGGTGCCCTGGGCTATTCGGAGATGACATTTTCATCCCAGGACTGAGGTTTTCCTTTTGCTAGCTGCAACAGGGGAAAGGAGAAAACTGGAATGGCAGAAGTGGGAAGAGACAGGGGAGCGGTCAGACAGCTCCTAGAGGAGGCAAGGCACTCACTACCAAGTAAGATCTGAGGTCTATATAATTCTAAGCCTCAGGAGTCAGATAGGAAAGGAAGGGCAGACTTTTTCTATAACCCATGGCTACCCAGGAATCACCTCACTCATTTTTCTGTCCCACGAGCCCATTCCTCTCCCAGGCATGGCTGGAGAAGTCTGGGACTTAGGAACCCACTCCTCACTCCCCCACTGGTCATTTCCCCTTTGGATTCGGATGCTGAATCCCACCATTGCCAGAAGAGAATTTGGGTCTAGGGTCTCTGAAAACTTGGACATAGGGCAGAAGAGGCAGCAGCTGAGCAGAGGCTAGGGTTAGTAAATCCAGCAAGGGCTCCGTTCTGACCACTCAGGCAAGCAGCTCTGATCAGCTAGGCCTTAAGAACTCTCTGAAAGAACCCGTGAGAGCATCCCTCACAAGCCTAGGTCAATGAAAAGAAACCGGCCTTCAGGACCAGCGGTGTGAGCCCGGTCCTCTGGGATGGGAAGAAGACAGCCATAAGTAATGCGTGGTGGCAGGGATCTCAGAAGAGGCCCCAGGAGGAGGGGAGAATCCAGGGTGGGAGGCGGGCTGAGTTCAGACATCCAGCACGTGATTCAGGTAGGAGATGTAGCAGATGGCCAGACGCAGGATCTCAATCTTGGAAAGCTTCTTGTCTGGGGGCAGAGTGGGCAGCAGTTTGCGCAGCTCGGCGAAGGCCAGGTTGAAGGCTTCCACGCGGATGCGTTCTCGCGTGGCATGTGCTGTGCGGTACTTGGCCGTGGCTCGGCGCCTGCGTCGGCGCTCCTCCCGGCTCAGGTGCTGCAGGTCTTTGCGGCCAGCCTCTCCGAGCTCTGCGCTCCGGACCTGGCCCACTCCGGGATCCCCCGACCCGGCACCATCCGGGCCCGGCCCGCCCCCACAGTCGCTAAAGCCCGACTCGGTCTCCGAGTGGGTGGGAGGTAGGTCCAGCTCCATGGTGTCAGAGTTGAGCATCATGATGGAAACCCCCAGCCTAGTGAAAGCCGGATCACCTCCCTACCCGTCCCTCTCGGAGCTTGAAAACGGGCTGTGGGAGAGGCAGCAAGGATCTGGAGTGCTGGGGTCCACCACTTAGCTCACGAAAGCAGAGTCGCTTCAAGGTTCCATGGTCAGGATTCCAGCCTGGAGCCTGAAACAGAAGAATTAAGAATTGACTGCTGAGTGGGGTGAGCGGCTCAGAGCTGGGAGAAGAGTTGGAAACTTGGAGTCAGAGCTGTCCAAGGTTAGAGAGACCAGCAGGCAGAAAAGAGTGAGAGGAAAAACAGAGGAAAGAGAAAGTTCTGGGAAAGACACAGCAGGCACCGTAACACTGAACAAGAGAAATGAAGACCTAGAACCGCTGACTTCGTAGAAGAAAACAGAGGGGAAACCTTTCGAGACATTGGACTTGGCCTTCATTTTTCTTGACTATGAGAACAGAAGCATAAGCAGAAAGAAAAAAATGTACACCAAACGTAACTGTAGCACACTAAGAACAATTACCACAGTGAAAATTCAACTTATGGAATAAGGAAGCAGTCACAAACCATATATCTGGTAATAAGTTCATATCCAGAGCATATGAAGAAGTTCTTAGGCAAGTGTGGCAGCATATGTCTGTGTAACCCCACCATTCAGAAGACTGAGGCAGGAGGATTGTGAATTTGAGACTGGATGCATAGTGATACTCAGTCTCAAAAGAGGAAAGTTAGAACAACAGAAATATTGCAAAACTTCATTTTGAAGTGGGAAAAGGGCTTGAACAGACATTTCTCCAAAGATGATGCACAAATGGCCAACGTGCTTATGAAAATACATGGCATACCACTGGTCACTAAAAATGCAAATAAAAATTACAGTAATATCACCTCTCATTCACTAGAGATAAAACAACAAAAAACAAAACAATAGAAAGAAAAAAACCTAAAACTCAGTCAGTGTTGACAAGAATGTGAAGAAATAGGAACCCTTGTTTATAAGACTGTAGAGCAGTACAACTGTTGTGGAAAACAGCCTGGATGTTCCTCAAAAACAACAACGACAGAAAAAAAAACCACCTGAAGCCGAAATACAGTGTGTTCTAGTGTTCATGAGATATTGGCACACCCATGCTCATAATAATAGCAGAAGCAGCTCAAATGTTCACCGGTGGAGCAGTGGATAAACAGAATGCAAATATGATGTATACATTATAGATGTATACATCTCTATATAAACATAAATAAATATAAAATTATATAAATATATAAGTATAGCTTCGACTAGGAAGGGACTCCTGTCATACTGCAACGCTGATTAAACCTTGAGGACATTCTAAGACAAGTACTATCGCTCCACTAGTTGAAGTTCCTAAAGTCGTTTAATTCATAAAAAGAGAAAGTGGAGTGGTGGCTGCCAGGGGTGGAGGGAAGGCAAAGGGGAGTTGTTCTATAAGGATCATAGAATTTCATATTCAAAAGATGAAAAAGTTCTGGAGATCAGTTCCACATAAAAGAATATACTTAACATTCTCAGGCTCTACCCTCATTTGCTGTGACTGCAAATTTTGTTGTGTGTGTGTAGTTTTTTTTTTTTTGCCAGGTGGGGGCTCACATAATAATAAATAAGGGGAAAGACAGAGAAATAGCCGCAAGGGAAGTTGATTATAATTCTAGCCCTTTCCCAGTAGTGAGGGGAGGACTGTTAAGCCTTGGCTTTGGGACCCTCTGTCCTCTTGTTCCTTGCTGGGGAGAGGAAGCAAACACAGAGACTGGCCATTGTTGCGTGCGCTGGGATATATGAAGCGTGGTACAACTTTATCAGCACCACCGCTGGAAACATTAGGTCCTACCACCCTGCCCATCAGGACCACTGAACTCCCCAGCTCTGTCCTTAGCACAGCCCTTGCCATTTCATGGCCTCTTGGAAAGCCTTCAAGGTAGACAGGGGACACTCACCCACAGCCTGCAACGCGGTCTGCAGAGGAGGACACAGGAAGTTTCTTGGAGCTACCCTTATGGAGACCAGCTAAGTTTGTTTGTCCCAGAATCTCTGGGTCTTTCACAGTGAGCTCAGCCTTAATAGAAACAGAGGCACTGAGACTCCTTCCCAGTCACCATGCCCCTCGTCCCCAGCCCTGGCTTTCCAACTGACAGACAGTCTCACAGGACCCACTCTTTCTCCGAGGCTTGCCCCCGCCCCACCACACAGAAGACAGGTTTAAGACCAGAACAGTTACAAGCCTTTTAAGGGGACACTAGACCACTAGCTTCTGATGACGAAGAGACACTACACACCAACCGCACCATAAAACAGAAGCTGACTAAAGCTGAAATTATGAACAGGGTCCAAAGAAAGAAAAGGGGAGAGAAATAGTGTGGGGTGGTGAGAGAGCAGTTCCCAGTAGTCCATAATTCCCCACTCCCAGGGTGGGCTGGAACCAAGAGTTTAGCCTTGGAGTTCCCAGTGCATCTATTACAACTGGATTCTTCCCCGACCAATCCCTATGTTCCCACATCCTCCATCGCTCTCTGATGCCCTCCCTTTCTCTCTCCTGCTCCCCATCTGTCACAACCCATCTCCACCTGCCCCTCCCTTCTCCCCACCTCCAGTCCTGGCAGCAGCTTCTATTTTCCCATCAAGTCTTTTTCCTCCATGTCTGGTCTCAAAGTTTCAGGCTCCGAGGAGCAGGGATGCAACAATTCCAAGCATCCAAGACAGAAATTCCCACCCTACTTCTTCGAACTGCATTTGACAGAGGCTGCACAAAGAATCCAAGAGAACGGGGGGGGGGGGGGCGAGAGGCAGAGGCTGAGGGAGACCCAGCTAGGGGAAGGTTTTGGGAGGAGGGGACTCCAACCAGAGGTTGGGAGTGGCATGCCCACCCTTCCTTCCAGCCCATGGTTTCCCCTTACCTAGAAGGACTCTGCCAAAGGATCCAAGCCGGCGGACGAGGGGGACAGTGTAGAGTGTTCCAGTCTCTTCCGGCTGCTCAAGGCTCATCTGTCTGCAAAGTTAGTGGTCAGTTCCTAGAGCTCTTAGGGATAGCTTGTTGTGGCTGAACAGGCTCCAGGACGGATGAGAGGGGTACGCATGGTAGAGATGTAAGGCCTAGCCAGAAGGGGGTCTTACTCAAACACTGGAGTCACCCACACTCATACACTCAAACACACACTCATACACACTTACAGACACATACACACCTGTACTGGCCCAGCCTTATGTGTATATATATATATGGAGATACACACACACCCCCAGCTCGCCATTGGCTGGCCCAGGCAGCCCCCTCATCAATATTAAACAGCCAGGCCAGGCAGCCATTGGCAGAGGGATCTGGGAACCCCTTGGGAGCTGGGGGCGGGGGCTGGCCCTGAGGGGGGCGGGGAGTGGGGGAGCAGGGACATCTGTTCTCCATGCATATTTCATAAGCAAGAAATAGAGAGCTGGGGAAGGGGTGGGGCTGGGGCAAGAGCCAGGGCAGGGCCACAGATGAACCCCCTCGGTTTCTGCACTAGAGGTAGTAGGGCAGGGTCTCCACAGAAGCTGGATTTAAAATAGTTCCATTCTGAGTTCCAGAGTGGCTTTGACTGCCCCTTCTCCCTAACTCCCTTCCCCTGGGAAGAAGGCTCTCCCTAGTACTAACAGCGAAACTATGAAAAGACTAAGAGACTAAGACGTGGAGGAGGACCTGAAAGTCCTCCCCGTATATAAGTTCCCATACACACAGTATGCACAGTTGGGCAGGCTGCTCCTCGCTACTGTCCAGGTTCTAGCTCTTGTCATCCCGGGACTCAAGCACCCCATTCTTCGACTTACCCCATCACCAGGCTGGAGTGGGGTCAGATTCTAGATAGAGACCCCTCCCCCCGAGGAGTTATTCTAGACTGGTCAGCCCAAGCTGATCCACAGGGAATCAGGGGCTTGGGGGGGGGGGCTAATAGGAGAGGAAGGAGGAGATCCAAGAGAGGTGGAACAGAGATCCGAAGGACTCTGGGAGAAGAGGGCAGGGCAGTCCAGGCTGCCCGAGTGTGCAGACCATCAAATGAGCATCAAGAAAAGTAGATACAAAATCATGTGCAAATGAGCACTGATTACGCTCACTTCGAAAGCTCAGCCGCCTCCAGGATCTGTGCCTGTGCGTATGCGTGTGTTTGTGTCTGTGTGGGTGTGTTGCAGGGTAGCCTCAGAGGGGAGCAAGTTTCTGTGGCTGAGAGAAGCACAGAGAAGCAGTGGGCTGGGTTTCAGCGTGGAAATTCTCCCATGTACTCGGCTGTAGGACGTTTCCATTGAGCCTTGGTATCAGAAACATACCATGGCTGGAGAGACCCCAGACACAGTGAGCGACAGCGAAAGGGGCTCTGTTAGTGCACGACCTTGGGCAAGCAATGACCTTTGGGCCTCAATGTCTGTTTTCTTTAAGATGGGGTAAATTATAAACTATTCAGGTTGCCATGGAAATCAAGGGGGATAATGCTTGTAATAAGCATAGACCCTAGTAGGAGCCCACGCTGTGGGAGGGATTCGCCACTTCACTGTACCTTCTCAACCTTTTCTGGGCTTTCTCCAGGGTGAGGCCTTCCCTATAGGGAATCCTATAATTCCTCCCCAAGCTCACCCTCCTCTCCCCACCCCCAAGGCCTGGGAGGTGCCAACTCCCACCTGGGCAAGCCCAGACAGGTGCCCAGGCGCCAGCAGATGGGCTGAGCTGGAGGGGAAAGAAGGCCTGAAGAGGGGGTGGGGGGGCAGGGGATCAGGTGGCGGTTTGGTTCTTGCATCATCATTGCCATGGTGCTGATTAAAAACCAATCTCTACCTAATGAGCCCCCAGCAACAACAATCCTACTTCCACCACCCTCCCGCCCTCCAACCCATCTAAGGAGTGGGGAGCCCGAGACTCGGAAGAATGGGCCGTGGGAGGGATGAGAGGAGACAGGGAGAAGGAGAGGAAAATGATGGAGAGTAGAGGAGATACTGAGACATGGGGAGACATGGAGAAG